GAGAGAAGTGGGAATGTGGGTGACTTTTTTGAAAAATCTGTCTCCCAAAGTCTCTAAATTTTAGAAGTCTCTAAAATGTGGCCAATGTTAATGTTCTGAAAAAGGAATTGTTGACTCTTTTAAGATTGAAAGAATAAATTACTGACACTTTAATGATTTTATAATAGGATTGAAATTATTGACATGTGATTAAAAAGAGAGTATTGCAACCCTGATTATTTCTCTTTCTTTTTTTCTTTTTTCTTTTTTTAGAAATGGGGTCTCATTATGTTGCCCAGGCTGGACTCAAACTCCTGGGCTTAAGCAATCCTCCTTGCTCTGTAGCTGGTATTACAGGTGCTTGCCACTGTGTCCAGCTTTGATGCTGTATCATTTTTCTTTCTATTTTTTTTTTTTTTGAGTTGGAGTCTGACTCTGTCACCCAGGCTGGAGTGCAGTGGCACACTCATGGTCACCGTAATCTCTATCTACTGGGCTCAGGCAATCCTTCCACCTCAGCCTTCCAAGTAGCTGGAATTATAGGCACGTGCCACCACACCCGGCTAATTTTTGGATTTATTGTAGAGATGAGGGCTCGCCAAGTTGCCCAGGCTGGTCTCGAACTCATGGGCTCAGGCAATACTCTCACCTCAGCCTCCCAAAGTGCTGGGATTATAGGCATGAGCCACCATGCCCGGCCTTTTTCATTTTTCAATGGGAGTTGAAGTATTGACATTGTGCTTTCTCAAAAAGTGGATTGTTGGTTTTTCACAGTTTACAAAACAAAAGCAAAAATATTGTTGGCATTGATACGATAATCATTACTCAAAAAATTAGGTGTTTTTTTTTTTTGAGTCAGAGTCTCACTTTGTTGCCCAGGCTGGAGTGCAGTGGCACCCTCAGAGCCACCACAGCCTCGACCTGCTGTGCTCAGATGATCCTTCCACTTCAGCCTTCCAAGTAGCTGGGACTACAGGCGTGTGCCACCATACCCAGCTAATTTTTTTATTTATTGTAGAGATGAGGTCTCACCAAGTTGCCCAAGCTGGTCTTGAACCTGTGGGCTCAGGCAATCCTCTCACCTTGGCCTCCCAAAGTGCTAGGATTAGAGGCGTGAGCCTGGCCAAAATTAGTTTATTGACTATGTGGATTTTTAAAGGATTTGAATTGTTGAGATCGGAGATTTGAAAAAAGGAAGTTTGAATTGTTGATTGAACTGTTGGCAGTTTTAGGCAAGTTTCCTGACTCTCTGCTGCCCATGTGTGGTGAGAACAGGGTCATGGCAGTTGCCGGCCTCCCCCTGAAGCTGGGTGGACACCCCCTGGGACCCCCAGACCAGCCACACTGTGGGATTCCACACGTCTTACTGCCTTCTATCCTGAAACTGTTTTGGAGACTCATCCAAAGGTTCTTCCCCTGCCCACTGGGAGGAAGTGGACACTCAGCCTTTGCAACCCTCCTGTGCCTTGGCAACGCCTGACAGCTGCATGTCACCAGGCCCTGTCCCTCTGACTCAATAAACTTGATGAATACTGTGTGTGGTTTCATAGCTTCCTCCAGTCCTCCCCCACTCTGCTTGACTCTGCCCCTTCCCAGGCCTCACTTAGGTCTTGCCAGACCAGTTCTGGGGGTTTTGTAAGAGCTGGCATGAGGATAAGGCCTGGAGCAGAGATTTTTGAGGGGAGGGTCGTGATCCCAGGGGTGGTTTTTGGAGAAAAATGGGGGGGGAGTTTGTAATGTGTGGGCACAGTAGATGGGAGGAGGAAAAAAGGGCATTTTAAGAAGTATTGTTGATACAGTCACTTTGGAGAGCAATTTGGCAAGTGGTAAAGTCGAGAACCAGCACGCCCTCCCACTCAGCAGATCCATTTCCTGGAATATACCCTAGAGAGACTCGCACATATGTGCACCTGGAACCTTGGCCAAGGACGGCCATTGAAGCTCTGTTTGTCATCACAGAAAACTGGTCCAGCTCTAAGTGTCCATGGGCAGGAGAGAAAGGATAAATAACTTATGCAACGGGACACTCTACTTGCAGTTGCAATGAACTAGAAATGCATAAAGCAGTATCGATAGACCTCAGAAACATAAATTGAGCTGGGCTCAGTGGCTCACGCCTGTAATCTCAGTATGTTGGGAGGCCAAGGCGGGAGGATTGCTTGATCCCAGGAGACTGAGGCCAGTCTAGGCAACATAGTGAGACCTCATCTCTACAAAAAGTCAAAAAATGAGCTGGGCTCGGTGGCTCAGCCTGTAATCCCACGCCTTTGGGAGGCTGAGGTGAGTGGATTGCCTGAGCCCGCGGGTTCGAGACCCGCCTGGGCAGCGAGACCTCATCTCTACAATAAATCAAAAAAATCAGCTGGGCGTGGTAGCACATGCCTATAATTCCAGCAACTCGGAAGACTGAGACGGAAGGATCACCGGAGCCCAGCAGGTCGAGGCTGCGGTGGCTGGGAGCGGCCACTGCACTCCAGTCTGGGTGACAGAGTGAGACTCCAACTCAAAAAAAAAAAAAAAGTAAAAAAATGAGCTGGGCATAGTTCCAGCCTCTTGGGAGGCTGAGGTGGAAGGATCGTTTGAGCTCAGGAGTTCAACGCTATGGCGAGCCGGGATCATGCCATGGCATGCAGGCCTGAGTGACAGAGTAGGACCCCAACTTAAAATAAATAAATATGAGACCGCGGGTTCGAGACCTGCCTGGGCAACTTGGCAAGACCTCATCTCTACAATAAATTAAAAAGTAGCCGGGCGTGGTAGCGCGCACCTGTAGTTGCAGCTACTTGGAAGGCTGAGGCGGAAGGATCGCTGGAACCCAGCAGGTCGAGGTTGCGGTGGCCGGGAGCAGCCACTGCACTCCAATCTGGGTGACAGAGTGAGATTCCAACTCAAAAAAATAATAATAATAATAAAATAAAATAAGTAACTAAATAAAAATAAACAAAAACAATGAGGTATATTGTTTCTGGATATTTATATATGATTTTTAAAAAACAGCACAGAGTAGAAGGATAAACACCAAACTCATTGTATCAGTCAGGATAGGTTAGGACCCTGTCACTGTAACAAACAACACCCAAGATCTTCGTGTCTCATGACCACAGAGTTTATGTCTTAGTTGGGCTCCATGTCCATCAGGGACATGTATATATATATATGTGAGTGTATCTGCACGTGCACTTGTGTACTCTGGGACCAGGCTGGCTGGTAGCTACCAGATGCCGTAGCAGAGGAAACCAGACTTGGAATACTGCTCTGTCTCTCAAAGCCTCCCCTTGTCCAACGCAAGCCACATGGCCAAATCCAACGTTTTTATGTATGTATGTATGTATGTATGTATGTATTTTTGTGGAGACCAAGTCTTGCTGTATTACCCAGGCTGATCTCAAACTCTTGGTGGCAAGCAATTCTCCCACTTCCACCTCCAAAAGTGCTGAGATTACAGGCGTGAGCACGACGCCTGACCCAAACTCAACTTTAAGGGGCAGGAAAGAACTTTCCTATTATGGGCTCAAAAGGAAAAGCAATGATATTTGTTGTACAATCTTAGCCCTATCATGATGATGACTTAGGGGAGAGTTCAAAGGGGCTTCCACCTAACAGTCATTATCATTTTTAAAAATATGATGCAATCATGTGAGATTTGCTCATTGTGAAGGGAGTCTACCCGCCTGTTTGCTATGTTATTCTCCATGTTGTATCTTTTTCAGTTCTAACTGAGAGTGTAAGTTTTAAAGGGAGGAGACAAATGGAACATTCATATTAAAACTCATTGTGTGTGTCCTTGCTGAGACAATGTTTCCTTCCACGTGTTCTGCAGAAACACCAGTAAAGGAATTCAGTTGTTTTATGTTGCTTTTGTCTGCATAGCAGTTGGTCTTCTGGACCTCAACAAAAGCTTGCTGGGCTCCAACCTTGTGTGTAGCAGCGCATGGGTGTCTGTGTGTGCACCTGTGTGTGTATTTGTGTGCATACCTCTGTGTATACCTGTGTGTGCACTTGCATTGTTGTGTGTGCACCTATGTGTGTACCTGCGTGGGCACCTGCATGGGCACCTATCTGTATACTTGTGCATGTGCCTGTGTGCACCTGCATATATATCTATGTGTGTACCTGTGTGCACCTGCATGCATATGTGTGTGCACTTGCATGTATACTTGTGTGTGCACCTGCATGTATACCTGTGTATGTCACTGTGTGAGCACCTGTGTGTGTACCTTCATATGCACCTGTATATACATATGTGTGTGTGTGTATATCTGCATGTGCACTTGTGTACTTGTGTGTGCACCTGTATGTGCACGTGTGTGTGCATCTTCTCCCCCCGAAGCAAGGGCTCTCCCTGAGGTTGTCTGACTCATCTCTGTTCCCCCAGCCCCAAACCTGCCAGAGGGCCAGGACCTAGCAAGGGTTTAATTAATATTCTGATATGCTCATTTCTCTTTGAATAATGAGCCCCTTCAGGAAAGACACATGCAGGTGCACATGCAGTTACACACACAGGTATACATGCAGGCATTCAGGAGGAACCATGCTTTCTCCCCCTCCAAGCCCTCCTCTGGAACAAGGAACGAATGTCTGTTAAATGAATGAATGGACACAACCCTCCTTCTCCAGCCCCTCAATGGAAACAGAAAACATGGGGTCCTTCCCACTCTGTCCTGACCCTCCTGAGAGGCTGGCAGGGCCACTTCTTCTGCAGAGACTACCATGCTTTTATGTCTACGCTGAGAAGCCATGGATTTGTGTATGACTATACAAAGGGGACCCACTGGTCCAGTCTCCCTGGGACATACCCAGTTCTAGCACTAGAGGTCCGGCGTATGCTAGGAACACCCTCTGGCCCAGGCAGACGAGGACGGTGGGCCACCCCACAGCAGCCCCCTTCTCTCTGGGCCCCATTTTCCCTCATCTTCTCATGAGAGGGTTGGTTCTGGTCTCACCTCTGCAAATCAGATCTAGGATTTTAGGAACAGGCCAAAGGGGAAGAGGGGAGTTGAAGAAGGAAGGAAGAGTCACCATGGAGCTTTCTGAGAGATCTTTATTCTTTGTAAAGAATGTGGGATCAGCACAGCCAGCTGAGCTCTGGTTCTAGTTGCTTGCCATTGTCTGGGAAAAGAGGGATGTGGGGACAGAATGGTCTACTTAGGAGCATGTCTAGTTCTGGAGCCAGATAGAAATGGGCTCAACTCCCAGCCCCGCTGTGTGACCCTGGGAGAGTGACTCGACTTCTCTGAGCCTCAGTTTCCTCATCTGTACAGTAGGGGCAATTATGCTCTGGGGGTTCTTGATTAAGCTAACCACGAAGGTTCTCCTCATAGTGTCTGACCCAAGCTTAGTGGTAAATCATGGCTGTCACTGCTGTCATGAAGTATTCATTCTCTCTGACCATCCATCCCCAGATGACGTCTGGGCTGTCACTGAGGCCTGGGCTCCCCTGTCACGGCTCTCGTCACTTCATCATGATGGTTCATTTAATCACCTGTCCCCTGCCAGGAAGCCCCTGGTCTGGCATGGCTCTCTATCCTCCATGACAGGAGAGGCTAGCACCAGAGGTGACACTTTATAAACACTTACTGAAATAAGGAAGTTCAGCAGCCGTTCCACGCTCCACCCAGAAGCCACCAAGTTATCGGAGCCACATGTAGCAGAAAACATCCAGACCCCTCTGGGATGTCCCCAGGGGCTCTTCACTGACCTTCCAGGACCCTCTCAGGCCCTCCCCAGTGTCTGCTGTTTCCCTTGTCACCTCCCAGAAGAGCCACTGTCTTTCTCACCTCCTCGATCCAGTCACTGAAGGCCGAGACACGAGTGAACACCGTGGGCTTCTTGAGGGTGTTACAGCCGAGGGCAGACACGAAGCTGGTCACACCGTGGACCTGCCAGGAGCCATCTGCTGTGGGGCAGCTGAGGGGTCCTCCGGAGTCACCCTGGAACCGTCAGAGGCAGGGGGGCTGAGCCATGTCCGAGGCTTAAGGAATGGGTTCTGACCTTCAAGGATCTTGAGAAACCCCCACATTACTTGACCTCTCTGAGCCTCACTTTGCCCATCTGTGACATCTGTCCAAGGGCGTGTGAGAATTAAATGAGATAATGCAGGATCTCAAACAACATCTAGTAGAGGGGAAGTACTTGACTCTCATGACTCATACCATGGCTAACTATTTCAGGAAGTCCCCAACATACGAAGGAGTTCCATTCCGAGAGTTTGTAAGTCCAATTTGCTTTAAGCCCAACTAAGTTAGCCTTGGTACCCAACTGGCCCAATCAGCTATATAGTACTGTATGTATTTAACAGGCTATATTGACATCTGTTGGAAAGAAATAATACATTAAAAAAGCAGGCATGCATCATTAAAGTTTGTAACTTGAAGGTTTGCATGTAGGGGACGTACTGTAACATTCATACTCACTTATAATACAATGACAGTACTCTTAAATTTTAATTATAACTTCAGAACCACATCATTAATGTGGCTTTAGAGGTCATGTACCAGTATCCCTTGCTGTGCTGATGGGGAAGGCTGGGGACCAGGGAAGGATGGTAACTCATCCCAGGTCACCTCAGCATGTAAGCCGGGCCTGGAATCCAGGGCTCCTGACTCCAGGGTCTGGCTCTGTGTCTGGGCTATGTTGACTTCCCCCAAATCCAGTCTGACCTGGAGGCCGAGTGAGATGAGCAGGCAAGATGCCTCTTTTACCTCCCGGGGAGATGGCTGAGGTGCCCCAGGCCCTGCACACCCAGGGCCCCCTCAGGCAGGCGGGGGCTGACTCACATTGCAGCCAGATTGGATGTCCCCGCCGGCACACACCATGGTCTTCCTCACAGAGATGCCCCACCAGTCCCATTTGGAGCAGTGTTCGTAGTCCACCACTGGCAGCAGGGCCTGCTGCAGCTTGTCCGGGAGTGGCCCATTGGCTTCAGGGACAGAGAGAACTGAATGAGGGCTGGGGTGCCGAGCTAGGGTGGCAGGGGGGTGGTGTTCGAGGCACATAGCTCTTCTGGCTGGATGGGGATCCCCTCCCAGTGGTCATGTGGTCCTGCATGCTATGTCACCATTGCATCCCCAGCCCTGGCACATAAGAGGCACTGAAAATGTTCAATGGGACCGGGTACAGTGATTCACACCTGTAATTCCAGCACTTTGGAAGAATGAGACAGGAGGATTACTTGAACCCAGGAATTCAAGACCAGCCTGGGCAACCATAACAAGACACTATCTTTACAAAAAAGTTTTAAAAAATTAGCCAGGTGTGGTGGCATGTGCCTGTAGTCCCAGCTACTGGGGAGGTTGAGGCAGGAGGATTGTCTGAGCCCTGGAGGTCGAGGTTACAGTGAGTCAGGATTACACCACTGCACTCCGGCCTGGGTGACAGACCCTGCCTCAAAAAATAAGTGCAATTGAACACATTCATGTTTGGGAGGACAGGAGAGAAGGCTGCAGCAGGGGAGGAATGGGAGAAAAGCCAAGGACCAGTCCCGAGGTCACCTTCACCCCCTGGTCCCTAGGCCCCGTCTTTCTGCCTCTGTCCCTGTGGCCAACTAGAGGGGTCAGCACGTACTGTAAAGGCGGCCCCAGCCGCTGATATAGCAGGGCGCCTCGTTGGGCAGGATGTCACCGGCGGGAGGGAGGCAGGCGAGCTGGACGGCATCCCCCAGCTGGGCGCTGCGCGAGAGCTTGATGAGGGCGATGTCATTGCTGGGGAGGAGGGAAGAATCATGGGCCTGGCCCTGCAGCCACCCAAGACTCAGCTCCCAACCTTTGCTCCAGGCTGTTCTGCTCTGAGCTGTCCCCAAGGCTCCGCTGCCCTACAGATCCTTTCTTAAGGTTGCATGACTTTTTATTTTCTTTTTTGAGTCGGGGTCTCACTCTGTTGCCCAGGCTGGAGTGCAATGGCACTCTCACGGCTCACTGCAGCCTTGACCTCCTGGGCTCAGACAATTCTTCTGCCTCAGTCTCCTAAATAGCTGGGACTACAAGTGCATGCCACCACGCCTAGCTGATTTTTAAATTTTTGGTAGAAGGCCGGGCGTGATGGCTCAGGTCTGTAATCCCAGCACTTTGGGAGGCCACGACAAGAGGATTGTCTGAGTCCAGGAGATTGAGTCCAGCCTGGGCAACATGGTGAGAACTCATCGCTGCAATAAATAAAAAAACATTAGCCAGGCATGGTGGTGTGCACCTGTAGTTCCAGCTACTAAGAAGGCTGAGGCAGAAGGATCGCCTCAGTCTAGCAGGTGGAAGATGCAGTGACCGTGAGTGTGCCACTGCACTCCAGCCTGGGTGACAGAGTGAGACTCCAACTCAATGAATAAATACATACATACCTACATTTTTGGTAGAGACAAAGTCTTGCTATGTTGCCCAGGCTAGTCTCGAACTCCTGGGCTCAAGCAATCCTCCCATCTCAGCCTCCCAAATTGCTGGGTTTATAGGCATGAGCCACCGTGCCTGGTCTTGCGCAACTTTAAGAAACTTCCGCCGGGCTCAGTGGCTCAGCCTGTAATCCTGCACCTTGGGGAGGCTGAGGTGAGTGGATTGCCTGAGCACACGGGTTCAAGACCCGCCCGGGCAACTTGTTGAGACCTCATCTCTACAATAAATCAAAAAATTAGCCGGGTGTGGTAGCGTGCGCCTGTAGTTCCAGCTATTTGGAAGGCTGAGGCGGAAGGATCGCTGGAGCCCAGCAGGTTGAGGCTGCAATGGCCGGGAGTGGCCACTGCACCAGTCTGGGCAACAGAGTGAGACTCCAACTGAAAAAAAAAAAAAGAAGCTTCCTAGCCAGGCATGGTGGCTCACACCTGTAACCTCAGCCCTATGGGACGCAGAGGCGAGAGGATTGCCTGAGCTCAGGGGTCCAAGATCAGTCTGAGCAACATGGCAAGACCTCTGAGACCTCGTCTCTACAACAAATTATTTAAAAATTAGCCAGGGGTGGTGGCGCATGCAGGTAGTTCCAGCTACTTGGAAGGCTGAGGCAGAAGGATTGTCTGAGCCCAGCAGATTAAGGCTGCAGTGGCCATGAGCATACTACTGCACTCTGGTCTGGGTAACAGAGTGACAGACTCTGACTCAAAAAAAAAAAAGGAAGAAGCTTCCCAACCTCTTCGCTGGGGCTGACCCTGAGCCTTCACAGTTGTCCTCACTTTTACCCCAGGGGGTCCACAGTTCAGCTGTACTGGAATCATCCTACCCCAAAGTCTCTAAGGCAGTGGGTCTGGGCTGAAGCCCCAGAATTCACTCTTCTAACAAGTTCCCTGGGTGCTGCTGCCGCTGGCCCAGGGACCACACTCTGAGAACACTGCCCTCTGTCTTCACCTGTCTGCATGCCTCTCAAGTCGTTTCACCTGGTCTGACTTTCTCTCTACCCTGGGAGCCAGATGGTGGGGCTCTCGGTCACGTGACCCTTCACTCCTATACTGCACTTTCAGCAGTTCTGCACCCTTCTTGGACCCTCCCACCAGAAAAAACGGAGCCGCTCAGATGCACGAGTTTGCATACACTTGATGGGTTTAAGATGGTCTCCTTGACCTTCCTGACCACTCAGGGAGCCCTGCTTCATGGTCACCCTTCTATAAATATCAAAACTGAGGCCCAGAGATGGCCAGTGACATGTCCAGGCCACACAGACAGTCAGCACCAGAGTCTAACTCTCGGTACAGTGCTCCCCCTTTTGCCCACAGTGCCGGGAATCCAGGATGCATGAGGTGACCTGCGTATTAAGTGGAGGGGCCCTTGAATTTGGGGGAAGGGAGTTAGCACTCTGAAGCCAGCCAACCACATGGCCTTGGGGGAGTTCCTGTCCTTCCCTAGGCCCCGCTGTCCCCTCTGAGCCAGGTTTGGCACAGATGGTCCAGAAAGGCTCTCTGGCTCCACTCCTCAGAGTGTGGGACCTGGGTGCCGGCTGCTGGACCCAATCCTCGTCCCTGGGAACCTCCTCGGACCTGGCTGTGGGCCGTAGAGGGACAAGCAGAGGAGGCCCTGGGCTCCAGGTCTGAGCATCCACTCACCCACAGGCCACGCAGCTGGGGTTCCAGAGAGGGTGCACGTGAAGGTCCCCCTCGTTGATGGGGATCACCTGCTCAGGGCCCTCCTTCTCGGCACGGTTGTACTCGCCCAGCACCACCTGGTAGGTCCGGGAGCTCCTGCCAGTGGAGGCGAGGTCAGTCTGGACCCGACTGGCTGACCTCCCTCTCCCCCCACAGTCCCCTGCTGTCCCCGGGGGCCTCATGCAGGGGTGGGCTGAGCGAGTGGACTCACGAGATGCAGTGGCCTGCGGTCATAACCCAGTCAGGGGCGATGAGGCTGCCGCCGCAGGTGTGGTAGAAGACTCCATCCTTTTCGTACTGCAGGGAGACCTGGTAGCCCAGGAGGAGAGAGCCTGAGTGGTCTGGGCCCAACACTGAGAGTTGCCGCCAAGAATTGTGTAGGTTGTGCACTGTACAACCCCAGAGGGCGCCATTCTCACGGAAAAGAATCGCACCCTCTGAAGTGAGCCACACACAACCTCCACAACTGCTCGTGACGGCCCTATCACTTTTCCGTGGGGATCCCATTCTGATTCTCCAAAGTCCCAGCACCCCAGGGCTGTGATCTCCCTGGGGACCCCCACATTCTCTGCCTTGTAGGGCATCCCCAAACCGTCTGACTCTTGGGAGCCCCCAAGGCCCTCTCTTCTATCAGGGCCCCCATTCTTCTGCACCGCAGACTTATCAAGGCTTCTGGGCTTCTGTGGCACACCTCTTCCTAGTCCTGTGCCTGTCCTCTTCGCTACTCCACATCCTGATTTCCCAAAGCTCTCCTAGACCGAGGGTTGGCAAACGGTGGCCTGCAGGCCAAATCCGGCTCATGGTCTGTTTTTTGTTGTTGTTGTTGTTGTTTTGAGTAGGAGTCTCACTCTGTCGCCCAGGCTGGAGTGTGGTGGCACACTGCTCACAGTCGCCACAACCTCGACCTGCTGGGCTCAGTTGATCCTTCCACCTCAGCCTTCCAAGTAGCTGGAACCACAGGCACACACCATCATACCCAGCTAATTTTTTGATTTATTGTAGAGATGAGGTCTGCCAAGTTGCCCAGGCTGGTCTCAAACCTGTGGGCTCAGGCAATCCTCTCACCTCAGGCTCCCAAAGTGCTGGGATTATAGGTATGAGCCACTGTGCCCAGCCTTGTGGTCTGTTTTTGTATATACAGATTTACTAGAACACAGCCACCCTCATTCCTTTACGGACCGTCCAGGACTCTTTCATGCTCCCATGGCAGAGTCAAGTCACTGTTCCCGATGCTCTAAGGTCAGCAAAACCTGGAGCATTTACCCTCTGGTCCTTGACAGAACAAGCTTGCGGGCCTGCCCACCCAACAGAACTTTCTGTGATGATGGAACTGTTCCATGTCTTTGCAGTCCAATATGGTAGCCACTAGCCATGCGTGGCTATTGTATATTTGAAATGTGGCTAGTACTGAGGAACTGAATTGTTCACATTGTTTAATCTAAAGTCATTAGATTAAAGCTGGGGTCTCACTCAGTAGCACGATCAAGGCTCATTGCAGCCTTCAACTCCTGGGCTCAGGCAATCCTCCCACCTCAGCCTCCTGAGTAGCTGGGACTATAGGTGTGCACTACTATGCACAGCTAATTTTCTGACTTATTTGCAGAGATGCAGTCTCATTATGTTGCCCAGGCTGGTCTCAAACTCCTGGGCTCAAGCAATCCTCCTGCTTCAGCCTCCCAGAGTGCTGGGATTACATAGGCATGAGCCACCGCACCCGGCCTCCATTTAAGTGAGTTTAAATAGCCACGTGTGACTGGTAGCTGCTGTGTAACAGCACAGCAAGTCTAGCCTTTTCTGCTTCCCCTGCTGGCCTCTGTAATGTTTCTCACCCCCTTACTGCTCCCACACCTTCCAGACCTGTTTTGTAATTCCAGGAATCTGGAAATGAGTCCCACAAAATCGCCCTTCCTAAGCACAGTGCCTGAAATCCACTATTAGTGTGCCAGCCTTGAATTGAACATCACCATCACTCCAGATTCCACTTTTTTTGTTTATTTGTTTTTTGGAGTTGGAGTCTCACTCCAAATGCCTGGGTTGGAGTGCAGTGGCACGCTCACGGTCATACCAGGGTCAACCTGCTGGGCTCCGGAGATCCTTCCGCCTCAGCCTTCCAAGTAACCAGAACTACAGGTGTGCTACCACGCCTGGCTAATTTTTGATATATTGTAGAGACGAAGTCTCACCAAGTAACCTGGATTGGTCTCTAACCTTCAGGCTCAGGCAATTCATTCGCCTTGGCCTCCCAAATTGCTGGGATTACCGGCTGAGCCACCAAGCCTGACCCAGATTCCGCTTTTAAACTGTAAACAGCCCAGTGAGGGTTACAGATGCAGCAACCCTCAAAACTGCCCTGCGAAGCAGATTGTCCAAGGTTCCTAGCCTTTGAAGCAGAAGTGGATACTGGAAAGGGGTAATGGTGTCAGGATCGGCTGCCTCGCCATCAGAGCTTCAGTCGGGACCGCCACTTCACCACCAGGGCTTGGGTCGGGACCAGCAGCCTTGCCATCAGAGCCTGGGGTCCAGAACCCACGGCGGGAAGGAGTGCAGCTGGAATTGCTCTTACCTGCCAGGGCCAGCTGTAGGGAACCGCATCCTCACCATTGACAACGCGGCTGGAGGGGTTGTAGGCCGTTTGGCCACAGCCTGAGGCTAAAGGGGAAAGTAGAGCTGTCAGTTAGCCAAAGAGTTCCCGAAAATAAAGAGGCCAGGGTTCCAGGCCCTACTGTGCCCCCACCTGGCTGTGTGACCCCGTACAAACCTCTTTCAGTCTCTGACCTTTAGTAACCACATATGAACAGGGAACATTTGGACTAGAACAAGAGTTTTCAGAGTCCCAAGGGTCCAGCGATAGAAATTAAAAAGTGAATCAGGAGCGGTGGCTCACGCCTATAATGTCAGCACTCTGGGAGGCTGAGGTGGGAGGATTGCTTGAGCCCTGGAATTGGAGACTAGCCTGGACAACATAGTGAGATCTCATCTCTACAAAAAATACAAAAATTATCCAGGCATAGCGGCGCGTGCCTATAGTCCCTGCTACTTCAGAAGGCTGAGAAGGGAGGATTGCCTGAGCCTAGGAGTTCGAGGCTGCAGTGAGCCACGATCATGCAGCTGCACTCTAGCCTGGGTGACAGAGTGAAACCCCAACAAAAAGAAAAAAAGTGGGCTAGGCTTGGTGGCTTAGCCTATAATCCCAGCACTTTGGGAGGCTGAGGTGGGTCGATTGCCTGAGCCCATGGGTTCGAGACCAGCCCAGACAACATGGTGAGAACTTATCTCAAAAATAAATAAATTTAAAAAATTAACCAGGCATGGTAGCACATGCCTGTAGTTCCAGCTACTTGGAAGGCTGATGCGGAAGGATTACCAGAAGCCAGCAGGTTGACGCTGGGGTGGCCATGAGTGTGCCACTGCACTCTAGCCTGGACCACCGAGTGAGACTCCAACTCAAAAAAAAGTGGCCTCCTTCAGTGGGAAGACATACTTAGAACAATGCCCACTGAGCCCTCAAAAGTGATAGCTCTTGTCACAGAATAGAGGCTTTGAAGTAAGATGACTTGGTTCAAAGTACAGCTCTGCCCTTTGTTCTAGGATGAGCTGCTTGATTTTCTGAGGATTAGTGTTCCCATCTGTAAATAATGACCTCATGGTCTATTATGAGAATTACACGAGATAGTGTAAGAAACAGCCTTCAGCATTCTTCCTGACATATAGTAAACACTCAATAAATGTTATCTATTACCATATTGTCAGTCAAGGGAGGCTGCTTGGAGGTGGTGGCCTTGAGCTGGAATGTAACATGGCAGAGAGACTAGGAAAAGGCCAGTCTACAGTATATGAAGCCAGGTGGGGGAGTGTGAGAAGAGCGCCATTGTGTTAAGAAGAAGAGTAGAAATTCCAACCCCAGCTGTCTAACCACAGAGCCCAAACTTTTTTTTCTTTGAGTTGGGGTCTCACTCTGTCACCCAGGCTGGAGTGAAGTGGTGCCATCACAATCACAGTTCACTGTAGCCTCGACCTTCCAGGCTCAGGCTATCCTTCCACCTCAGCCTCTGAGATCCAGGCATGTACGTCCACACCTAGCTAATTTTTTTTTGAGTAGGCATCTCACTCTGTTGCCCAGGCTGGAGTACAGTGGCACACTCACGGCCACCACAGCCTCGGTCTATTGGACTCAAGTGATCCTTCCACCTCAAACTTCCAAGTAGCTGGAACCACAGGAGTGAGCCACCATGCTCAGCTATCTTTTTTTTTTAATTTACTGTAGAGACGAGGTCTCACCTGAACCCTCATCCCTGGGTTTAGGCAATCCTCTTGCCTCTGCCTCCCAAAGTGCTGGAATTACAGGCGTGAGTCACTGCACCCAGTCAATTGTTAAATTTTTTGTAGAGACGAGGTCTCACTATGTTGCCTAGGCTGGTCTCGAACTCCTGGGCTCAAGCAATCCTTCCTCCTTGGCCTCCCAAAGTGCTGGGATTACAGGGATGAGCCACTACACCCGAACTGTGGTTCCAGTCCTTCTCCTGAGCTGGCCTCTCCACAGCCTCCCCTTCTCTCTCCTGCTCTAGCATCAAGCTGAACGCACCCACAGCCACACCCCAGGTCCAAGCTGAGACCCGCTCCTGCGAAACCAGGTATTGGGTACCACAGGACCCGAGGTGTGGGACAGACTGCAAGGACTCCTTGCCCAGTGCAGCACAGGCTGGGTCTTACCAAAGGCCACGAGCAGGAGGGAACTCAGTAGCTGGAGCATCGTGAGTTTTGAGAGGCTAGGAGACAAACGCAGAGCCTGGGGCTCTAAAATAGGGTAGAGGGTGGCGGGCGGGGAGACCTGGATCCCGTTCCCCTAACAGGTGGCAGAATGGCAAGTCTCCCATGGTCCAAGGCCACCACCTCCACCCACTACAAATGGAGGAGTGACTGCCAAGGAAAGGGCCCGGGGGGGGGTCTCTGTGGCTGCACAGGTGGCAGTGTATGGTAACTGATAACAGGAGCAGGAAGAAAAGTTCACATCAGACCAAGACTGCCTCTTTCAGGAAAGAACATGGACACTGGGACTGGCAGACTGGGTTCAAATTCTGGCTTTGCCACCTCCAAGCTCTGTGACCTCGGGCTTGTGGCTTAGCCCTTGTGAGTCTCAGGCTTCTCGTTTCTAACATGGCATTCCTATGAGCACTCATCTCCGTAATGAATATCAGGCACTGTTCTGGGGTTGTGACCGTGAACAAGACATGGTCCCAGCCCTCCCAGAGCTGGAGTGGAGTGGAGAGACAACGAGTCCACAAAAAGAGGGCTATTTCTGACTGTAGTGGCAGGTGCTGTGGAGAGAGTAAAATGTGGGTGATTAGGGTGGAGATGGGATTAAGTCAATGGCGGGGGCATGGAAGGTGGCATGGAAGGTGGCATTTGGGTCGAGAGTTCACATCTGATTGAGTACTGAAGGATTCGTAAAAGCCAGCCATGGGGAGCCCTGAAGGACAAGCACTCAAGGTGGGGGTAGGGGGGAAGACAGCAAGTGCAAAGCTCTGGAGGCTGGAACGGGTTTGGCTTAATCAAGGAAAGGACAGCATGAGGCTGGGTGCAGTGGCTGCGCTTGTAATCCCAGCACTTTGGGAGGCCAAGGAGGGAGGATTGCTTGAGCCTGGGAATTTGAGACCAGCCTGGGCAACATATCGAGACCTTGTCTCTACAAAAATAATTTTTGTTAAATAGCTGAGCATAGTGACACACACCTATAGTCCCAGCTAACTGGGAGGCTGAGGCGGAAGGATTGCCCGAGCCCAGGAAGTTGAGGCTGTGGTGAGCCATCAGTGTGCCACTGCATTCCAGCCTGGGCAACAGAGTGAGACTCCAACTCAAAAGAAAAAAGAAAACGGAGACCAGTGTGGCTGGAGCTTAGTTGCAAAGTGGAGAGGGGTGGGCGATAAGGTCAAAGGGGAGGTCACTTCCCAAGCTGGATTCCCACAGAGGCCGACTCCTCTGCTTCTGGGTACTGGCCCAAGAGAAAATCTTGCATGTGTTTACCAGGGACCATGGATGAGACTGTCCATAGCAGCTCTGTCCTCAAACCTCAGTAACCAAGACCTAGAAATATCTCCAACATCCATCAAGGTGAACAGATGAATGTGTACAGCATATTTATACAATTGAATATTCATCAGCAGTCAAAAGATTGAATCGGGCCAGGCACACTGCCTCATGCCTGTAATCCCAGGGTGGAGGCCAAAGTGGGAGGATCGCTTGAGGCTAGGAGCTGGAGACCAGCTGGGGCAACCTACCTAGACCTTGTTTACAAAAAACTGAAAGATTAGCTGGGTGTGGTGGTGCATGCATATATTCCCAGCTACTGGAGAGGCTGAGGCAAAAGGATCACTTGAGCCCAGGAGGTTGGGATTGCGCCACTGACCTCAAGGCTGTGATGAGCCATGATGGTGCCACTACACTCCAACCCAGGCTGGGTGACAGAGTGAGACTCCAACTTAAAACAACTTCTCTTCCTGGGTCCTTTGTGGAGAAGGATTTTAGCAGTGAGGGTGAGGGAGACCAGCTGGACAGAAGTGGGGTCAGGATGTATTTTGGCTAGAACACTGCCTGAAGTCCTCTCTGGGAAGTGCTAAGTACAGTGTCTGGCACCAAGTCAGTGGCCCTAATTCACTTTGCTGGCTGGTAGAAACAGCCTCCCAGCCCAGGGCCTGACATATTTTCGGAGGTAGGGGGCAAATGTTTGCTGAACAAGGCAACCTAACTCCTCGGCTTTCCTGAATACCCTCCTCCCTCCTCAACACCCAGTGCTCCGGATGGAGAATCGCAGGCGCCTTCCTCCCAGAGTGTTTCGGCACACAACCTCCTTCACGGCTCCTGCCTCTGGGAAGCCGAGGAGGGGGCGAGGCTTAGCTGCGTCAAATGATCCCTAACGGGGTAAGTCAGGCGTGTGGCCGGACAACGTCCCCCCTCCGATCACACCTATGGTGATGTCTGCCACTCCAATAGCCTGGCCCAGCAGAGCGTGTGTGGACACAACAGAAGCAGCTGTGAAAGTCCTTCAAGATGTGATAAAAATAGCCATGCCCTCTCCTGCCGCCTGTTCCCTATGGGCCGGGACATGTTTATTTGCTCAGCTTTAAAGCTCTGAGCTATTCCCCAGACCCTGAGCTGAGGAAGAAAAAGGGAGGGATCAGGGTGGGGGGTGCAAGGGAGAAGGAGGTGGGTCAGGATTCCATGGCAGAGAGAACGACTAAAACAGACCAGGCCAGGAAGACCATATAATCCGGTCTCTTCTATCTGACACTCAGGGAAATTAGGACCCGGGGAGAGCCAGGACTCTCTCGAAGCTCCCTGGCTCACCATTGCTTGACCTGGCGGAAGGCCACCCAAGGGCACAGGAGGGCCCATTCTCCTCCCCTAGTTTCAAACAAGAAGCGTCCACAGTTGTTATCCAGGTGGCTTTGAGCACACCCAGCCTCTCTGTGGGCTCTGCTTGGCCCCAGGGGAGATGGACCCTCTGAGGCCAACTGTCCTGCCACAATCCCTGCCGGGCCGGACTCCCATTCAAGGTCTTGTGGACAACACTGTCAGCCCTTTGGGGTTTTCTGGCCCAGGAGCTGCCTGAGCAGAGTCCCTGCAGATGACCCCTCTCCACAGCCGGAACAGGGAGTGGCCAGGGAAGAGGAGGGCCAGAGCTCCTTTAGGCCACAGTCAGCCGTTTCCTGAATGGGAGGCGGAGGGCTGGATGGGAGAATATGGGGAGCTGGGGGCAGGTCTTGGGGAGAGGAAGGGGGAAGGGGGAGCTGGTGAGCCTTTTCTTGGGGAGGGGCTGTTTCTATTATGTCTCTTTCCCATCCGAGGGGAAGCTCCCTGAGGGTCAACACTTGACCTAATTCATCTTCATATTCCCAGTGTCTAGAAAGGAATCCGCCGCAGGGTGGGTGTTCAACAGTATTTATTAAAGCTGGCAACAAGGGCCAATGTGGTGGCTCATGTCTATAATCCCAACACGTTGGGAGGCTGAGGCAGGAGGATAGCTTGAGACCAGGAGTCTGAGACCAGCCTGGACAACATGTCTACAACAAATTAAAAAAATTAGCCAGGTGTGGCAGTGTGCACCTGTAGTCCCAGCTACACAGGAGGCTGAGGCAGGAGGATTACTTGAGCCCAGGAGTTTGAGGTTACAGTGAGCCATGGCCATGCCACTGCACTCCAGCCTGGGCAACGGAGGAGACCCTGTCTCAAAAAAAAAAAAAAAAAAAGGCAACAAATAAATAAGCCACATTAAGGGTCTCTTCAAATGCCCTCCTCTTCCTACCCTGAAAGTACAGTTGACCTTGATGTTCAAACAGGGCATACCTGGAGGCCACCCCCTCTGTGTGTCCCAGAAAAGCCCAGAAGCAGTGGTTGGCTGGTGGTCCCGCAGGACGATATTCTAGAGGCTACTACTCGTGTTCAATTCAATGATAAACGAACCCACCAGAACGGACCCCCAAGGGCCAGGAGTTCCGGGTGCTTTGTTGGCTACTGTGGCCTCAGATCCCAGAGCATAACCTAGCGGGCACTCAGTGAAGAGTTAAGGGTCAGTTGGGACTGGGAAACAGGAGCTCGACCAAAGTTCAAATGATTCTTTCTTGCAGGACTTCTCAGAGCCCTTAACTTGCCAATGTCCACTGTGAACCACACACCTAGTGGTCTTAAGTCCTGGACTCTGGTTCCTCATGGCCCTATAGTTCCTATGAAAATAAACAATTCAAAATCTAAGCTGTTGGAGCTTTCAAGTATTTTGAGCCTTAGGGAATGTGATTGCCGGCCCTAAGCCACTAAGCAGGTAGCCTAACCCTTGTTTCTTGGTTAGAGATTAGTCTTTTTCCTTACTTATATTTTTGTGTAAAATGTTGTAAATGACTAAAGGGCACCAGGGAAGACCCTTCCACTCTTAACTGTTGATCTTCATTATAGATTAACTTCTCTCTTTTCTCCCTCACACAAAGCTTCTATCACATTGTCTAGGTTGGCATGTTAAATACATTCTTTTCAACTGGAAAGGAGAAGAAAACAAACTGTAACTAATTAAACTGTTATAACTCATAAACCCGTCTTGAATAGAAAATGTCATATTCCTACTACATGTCATATTCCTACTACATTTTTACATCAGCAAGACCTTTACGTTTTTGTTTTTGTTTTTTTTTCGAGACGGGGTCTCGCTCCATCACCCAGGTGCACACCACCACACCCAGCTAATGTTTTTATTTTTATTTCTTTTTATTATTCTTATTTTTTTAGTTGAAGTCTCTGTCACCCAGACTGGAGTGCAGTGGCATGCTCCCGGCCACCGCAGCCTCAACCTGCTGGGCCCCGGCAATCCTTCCGCCTCAGCCTTCCAGGTAACTGGAATTACAGGTGTGCACTACCACGCCCGGCTAATTTTTTGATTTATTGTAGAAATGAGGTCTCGCTAAGTTGCTCAGGTGGGTCTCAAACCCGCGGGCTCAAGCAATCCACTCACCTCGGCCTCCCAAAACGTGGGATTACAGGCTAAGCCACCGAGCCCGACCTGTTTTTATTTTTTGTAGAGACGGAGGTCTGCTCTGCTGCCCAGATTGGCCTGGAACTCCTGACCTCAAGCAATCCTCCTTCCTTCAGTCTGCCATAGTCCTGTGATTATGGGCATGAGCCACTATGCTTGGCTCCAAGACCTTAATTCTGAACTTTGGAATACTGATCCTATTTCTCTGGATTCCGTGTTTTCCGAATGGCTATTCCCAGCCTTTTGCTTGAAT